CCAAAATCCATGATTTAGGTAGATTCACCGATGCAGCGAATGAAGTCTAGGTAGGCGCCGACCCATATACAAATTCCTTGGTATCTCCTCGGGCAGTGGTAAAACACTCGGTTCGTGCTCTGTGTCATGAATATTCCAATGTAAACCTTCGTCTCCAGGTTACCAAAGCTGATCAGATAGTTCGTTGGAAGCCGCCTTTAAACCCAGCAGTGAAAGTGAATTTTGACCAGGCCTTCATGGTTGAAGCGGTGGCAGCATATCACGCGTTGGAGTTTGCAGTAGACTTGGGCTTCTATAACATTATTGTCGAGGGCGATTCTCGAACAGTAATACGCAAGGTAATCAAAGAGATTAGCACATGGATATGGGACATAAGAAGGAAAACTGACCTTTTTCATCTTGCATGTTCAATTTCATCTTCAAGTCTGGAAACCTTGCTGCTCATTTGTTAGCCACCGACAGAGATTATGAGGAAGAGGAGCGAATCCCAGAACCAGAGTCTGATGATTACTCATTTTTCTAGCTGAGTATGTTGAAAATAAGAAATTCTTTGCTTCTGGTCCCCCAAATGTGGTTTTCACACTCTGATCAACATAGTCCACTTCACACTGGTTTTGCACTTGGAATTTGCTTAGAGGACACGGCATATACTTGCTCTTTTCTTCTGCTTCCTTTGCTTCGCAGGCTGAAGAACCACCTTGATAGCAGCGTCGAATACAGCTTTCACATTCTGCTGTGTCTTTGAGCTGCACTCTATGTATGCTACTGCTCCTATTTGCTTCTTTAGTTCAAGACCATTAAAACGGGTGTCTACACGAGGTTTACATTTTTTTTAATAATTATTGTCGATTAAATCACAACGAATAGGTACTATTTTGATTGAGCACCAACGGCTGCAGCAGGGTGATTGAGCGTTCATTCTCAAATCTCAAATGGTTGAGAGTATTTAGAATAAATACTACTTTGTAATCACATTAACTTAATAAATAAAAAATCTCAACGAACAGGTCTAGAACGTATCTAAAGAAATATTTGATAATGAACACTCACGCCTCTGACGTTTGTAATGCTCAAACCCTCAAACGATAACAACAAATCACTTAACCACGATATAATAATATTCCCTCTGTCCTAAAAAAATCTTTTATTGACTTTTTAAAAGTCAAAATTTTTCAACTTTGACCATGATTATTTTAAATGTTGTAAGTAATTAAATTTTATAAAATATGTATTTGAAAAGTTTTTGATTGAAGGATTTTAAAATATATTTTGATCTATAATAAACTTTAAAGAATAATTAATCAAAATTAAAAAAAAAATTAACCCAAAAAACACAATACTTAATATCTAACTTTGCTTCTCTCAAATCCAACAACAAATACTATATTTAAGTAAATATCTCATAATAGTATTGATGACAGTGACATTAAATATAACACCTAAAATACAAGCAAGTGTATGTTATTCTTAAATTATATAAAATGAGAGAAATGATAAAATTATCCCGAGATTGATTGATAGATTTAACTGGTTTATTTTGATAGGGATAAAAAAGTGAGATATATAAGGATAAAACAAGAAATACAAGTGTTTTTATTTGTTGATTTTTTTAATAGGATTTTTTTTATATATAAAAAAAAAAGATAAATATAGTGGAACGGATGACACACTGCATGCGAACCAAACCCCAATTCTGATAACATTTAAACAGGACATAAATGAAGTCCTATCATCCTTGTAGAGGTTCCATATATAGTTTCGGCAAAGATGCTTCTGTTCTGTCATGATTTGATCATCATCTTCTTCTATCAAAGATCACATCTCTGTGAAGGATCAAACATTAAGTTGCATTCCCTTTCAAACGAACTTGATAATTTCAACCTAGGTGTCTGATTGGTGGATGGTCTTCAAGTTTTCACTCAGTTAGGACCTTAATGATAATTAAAACACCATTGGGCAAGGAATTTATTAGTCCTGAAAATTTGCCATAAGTTGACCAATCGAGTTGAAGTTGGATCTGAAAGCCATATTCTCAAGTGCAATATACGCCGCTGGTCTTACCAGGCACTTTCGAATGGTGGTGGTTGGTGTTTCCTCTTCCACCGATCTGCCATTTGAGTTAGCTTTTTGTTTGTTCAAATCTCATTGGGTTACTTTATTTGGTTAATATGTTACATTTCAGTTTAATCAAAATCTAAATAAAAAAAATCACTTTCATCCCTTCAAATTCATACCTTTATTTTCTTAAATTTGTTGTCACTCCCTCATCTATGATGATCCAGCTAGCAATAAAACAAACCAATCTTCGTTTGTTACATTTTAAACCTTTAATTTTAAATTTTGTCAATTACAGCCTTATCTTTTTTTTTTCTTTTGCTTCATAACTGAATAAATATTAAAACGAAGATAACTCATGCGAACCGACCAAAATTAACTTTATTCAGATCTGATAATAAAGTCAATTCAATTTATCTAATTTCAATTAACTTAATCAGTTATTGATATATAAAATCTAACTGACAAAATGGAAAAAGAAAAGTTGATTCTTTCCATAAAGGGTTAATTAAATGATTGATCATGTTTGAATTTTATCTTCTTTTTTCACAGATTTAAAAAAATAATATATGATCACTTTCGATTTTATTTTGTTTGAATGTTATATGTTTTTTTCTCATCGATTTCAAAAAATATAATATATGATCACTTTCGAGTTTATTTAATTAAGATGTGGTCATCATGAGTTAACTGTTGTTAATAGCAATTAAATACTTTGATATAATCACACATTCAGTCCATGTTAATTACATATTCTCTTATTTTAATCATATTTTTAATGTGTCAACACACCTTTTCGTCCGGGTACAACACTCTCAACAACCCTAATTTAGTGGGATTCATAAAACAAACATAGCGTTAGAGTTTTACTACGATTCAAACTCCTAAAAATAGGATAGATTTTTACTAGGATTCAAACTCCTAAAAATATGATAGAGTTTTACTATGATTCAAACTCCTAAAAATAGGATCCAGAAGCATTATAAATAGCCATTGTAACTCACTATTGTAACACACGATTTATATACAAAATACAGAGAAAAACACGAAAAAATAAGAACGCAAAGCTATTGTAAACGATTCGAAAAAGAAATAAAAGGTAGCATCTTTTTTTTCCTTTATTCGTTCATTTTTCGCACGTGCTTATTATTTTTCTTGAGATTTGGTTCGAATAACCCAAAACGTGGGTTGCGTCGATGACCAAAAAGGGGTGGAGTTTCGAAATTTTGAACTTAGATCTACCCCGAGGCGTATTCATGTTTTTAAATATTTAATTCTCCCCCCAAAATCATTTTTTTTCTTCAAAATTTGCCCATCGATTTATTTTTTTTCCTTTTGATTCAGTCTCTTACATTTACGTTTTAATTATTATTATTTTATTTATTTAATTTTATTTATACGCACATTTCTCTTATTACTCATTTTATTTAATTGCTTTGTTATTTTTCTTTTCTTTTTTCATGTAATATTTTTTTACATTTTATGCATTTTTTTTCTTTAGTATATATTTTTATTTTTTTTAGATTACATATATAAATATATATATATATGCATATGTTATTTTTTATTATTTGTTTTATTAATTTATATATATATTTACTATTTTTTATATTTTTATTTATTATATATATATATATATATTATTTTTACTTTTTTTATTATTATTTTATTTATTTGTTTTATTTATATATATTTTTTTCTTTTTCTTTATTTTTTTTAATATTTTTTAATATTTATTTATTTATTTTACTTACTATTTCATCTTTGCTTTATTTATCTTATCTTTTATTTAATTTGTTTTTTCTTCATTTTAATTTAATTTAATTTATTTCTTTCTTACATTTTTATCTAACAAGTTTATTGGGTCTCTTAAGGGTACACCTTTAAAACTATCTAAGGTAAGTAATTGAGATCGTAGTTTTACCTTTTAATTTTAAATTACAATTTTCTTAATTTAAGACAACTGAAAATTGCATAGTATCGAAAGGGCAGTTCAAGGGTATTAACCCTTCCTTGACTGTAACCGACTCCTGAATCCGACACATCTTTGGAAAGATGCAGATCAAGTAAGAAATAGGATATCCGATCAACCCATTTGTTTTAAAATAAATGATCGGTGACGACTCCAATTCATTTAATCTAAGTCGAAGCCTAAATTCGGAATCCACCCGAAAAACGGTTACGACATAATGAATTTAATATTTCAATCGAATGATGTTGTATGCCACTGGTGCCACTTGTTCTCACCATTTGGTTGGAAGACTAACTATATTTTTCACCAATTACAACTATCAAACACCATATAATGTTTTTCCATAAAACCAATTACAACCATCAAACACTAAAAATTTTAATTAAATTAAAATAAATCAGTCCTCCAATCGAATGATAACAAGTGACACCAATATCACATAACATCATTCAATTTAAAGATTAAATTTATTTTAATAAACCCAAATGAATTATTCTACCAAAATACCACATCACCTAATCTATTAACGGTTAACAACAGTTAACATGTTATGACTACATCTTAGTTAAATAAAAACGAAAGCGACCATAACTTAATTAAATAAAAATAAAAGTGATCATATTTTATGTTTTTTAAAATCGAGAAAAAGTTTACAAAATAGAAACTTAATCATGTAATATAAGATGAATAAAGTATGTAAGATTTGGGAATAAGTATGAAACACAAATTTGAGAAATAAGTTTGAAAATGCAAATCTGTTTCAATCACACGCACATAAAGAAGAGAAATTCGGCAACTCACACGTACGTAGAGATGAGAAATTCGATTAATCACACACACCAACATAAAAACAAGAAATTCGATAAATCGCACACACAAGCATAAAGACAAGAAATTCGATGATTCACACGCACGACCACACACACATGCAAACATTACATTATGACACATATAGAGAGAGAGAGAAGTGGGAGACTAGAAACTTCTTGCTTCACTGAAATACAGGGCTCAAACAAATGTGGCAAAGGTTCCACAGGATACGAACTGTGGCCATTCCAAATTACAGTTGAAAACTACAAATGAAGTAAACCGCATTTGAGTACCTTCAATCATGTTTTTTCACCCATAGCGACACCATCATCTGTCTTTCTCCCAGCCCTGCTCAATCCATATACCATCAGTTAAGAGAAGAATTAATAGTTTTACAGCACACAAAAAATGTCTACTCATGAATGATACCTGAAAATACGAGGGGTCGTCCATGGCAGATAGCAGTTTTTTACCAAAATAAAATAAAATACCAACCCTGAAGTCCTTCCTCACTACTCATAACCACCGGTTCCACTTGGACGTCCATGGAAGTTTCCCCCACCACGCCTTGGGCGACTCTGACCCCTCTCCCTGTACCTTCCACCTGTTCCATGAGATCCATCTCTTGGTCCTTCAGGATTATTTGCTCTATTATTATTGTTGTTGTTATTTTGGGGTCCGGCTGGCTGGTACTCGTAATGTGAATTGTGCCTCTGCCTTTCACGGTTTGCAGGGGTTTGCTGTTTCATTTCTTGACCAGATGAGCCCCAATCACCACGGGAATCATGCCCTCTACCATATCGGTTATTTTGGTTTCCATTTCTGCGGAACCCTGTGGTTGTGCGCTGCTCATTTCTTGTATCCATATTCGATGGAGGTGCCTCAACTGGAAGACCAGGACCTTGGTTTGAGGAGTGTGGGTTTCCTTTAAGTGAAGCTACATTCCTTTCCCTCTTTGACTCGTGATGTCCGACATTTTGTGCTTCAACGCTTCCTTTTTCAGAGACATGATCTTTAAGAGACACGGTCACACCTTTACAGGTTTCTCTGTCTGGTTGAGGTTGATGTGACTTCTTAGCCTGAAGGGCAGAATCCGTTCTGTTTGTCCTACTAATTTCAGAACCAATATTTTGATCACTATCAGGCCTGCTTCCTCGTTGATTGATGGGCGCAGATTTGGGTTGCCAATGAGATGTTGATCGATCCCCAACACCACGGTTCTCTTTTGATTCAGCAGGCGAGTCTAATCGAACCATCTCAGGGACCGATGATGGTGGGCTAAATTTATCAGCTTCACCATTGTTAATTTTCTTGCGATCAGAACTGTAGTTGTTTCCCCCACCTTTTTGTCCCTTGAATGGATGACGTTTTCCTCTTCCTGTTGTCCCCTGATTTCTTAAAACAGGTACTGATGATACAGTAGAATCAGGATATTCAGGCATGTTCCAACCATCGGACGTATCCCATTCATCATACTTGGGTTGCTCTTTCACTAGGCTGGAAGCAGCCTTCTGCTCTTGCTTCTGCTCAGCTGATTTCTCAGCATTTTTACTAGGATTGGTATAAAGCCCATCTTGCAAAGATGGCTCAGCCAAGGCACGTTGGCTCCAAGATCCATGTCCTCTTCCCTGCCTACCATCATTCCTAGACTCATTAGTGTTCCCCACAGTCCCTGTGGATGTGCCTGACTGTTTAGAACATTCAATTCCATGGGACCCAGGACCTGCTCTACCTGCAATGTCATCTGCAGCAATCTGATTGTCTAAATGAGCTACTGTTTGCTGAGAAATTACTTGCTGAGCCATTTCTTTTGCAACAGGCTTCGGGATGTATCTCTCTATCTCAGCCCTCTTATTTCTGGCATTGTTTTGCACTTGATCATAATTCTTTGTCTGAGGAGTAACATCATTCTCAGCTGCCGACTTATGGCTGACCTCTTCAATAACCTCAGTTTTGTTTTGTAACCGCACAGGTGCCCATACAACAGCATCACCACCATATATTGCAGATTTATAAGCTTGTGGATTGCGTGGCATCCTGCGATACTGCTGAGATTTCCACTGGTTATTCACTTGGCCAGAGGCTTCTTCATGAGGAAAAGCTAATTCCTGCGCTGAAGACTGGTTTCCATCCTTCGATTCAGTCAGAGACTGAAATGAGTTAAGATCCAAGTTACATTCAGAAGACTTGGGCTTCAGACCCTCAACAGAGGAACGTGTATGACTTATTTCTTTTGAAATCCCAGATGACAGAGAAGCCAAAGACAATGTCTCCTCCACTTTATGTTTGTTCTTACCACTCCTATTATTTTTCCTTTTCTGGTGCATTGTGGAAGTGTTCACAACATTTTGGGTAGAAACTGACACAGAGATTGAGTCAATTTCATTTGTGACAGCCTCAGCAGACGGAGCCCCATCAACTACTGCATCAGTATGAATATTTAGCAATTCAGTTGTAATATACTTCTCACTGGAACCCTTATCCAATAAGTTGGGATCCTTTTTCCTATAGTCCACGTGCTTCTGCTTCAAAGTGCTACCATCGCTAACCTGTGGGTTATCGTGGAGAGCAGCATCAGCATGTGGCAAGGGCAAAGAACGGTTATGCATTTCGGCAGTAGCCTTATGAGCATTCCTTGTTGACACCAAGGGTTGTTGATTGGACATAACAGTATTTTCAAGTTCCCCAGTGCTGCTTTGACCAACATCTGCAACTATAGTTGAGCTAGAAACCAAGCATGTTATTTCAGATCTGCTTGGGAGGATATCATCAGTTAGTGTTCTGGATTCTTCTTGCTTACTCTGGACAGCCATATCTGGAACGGGTTCCAACTTCTGAGTTAAACCTTCAGCTGTTTGTGTACGTCTGTTCAACTCTTCTAATTTAGCCAGAGCCTTGGCCTTCTGGTCTCTAGCTCGCTCTTCCTCCTCTTTTTGTCGTTGTTTGGCCCGCTGCTTTGCAAGTTCTCTCATCATAGCTCGCTAAAGAAAATGTCAAATGAATTTGTACATTCAATTTAGGTTTAAAACAATGCTGCATATGATATAAAGAAAATTACCTGTGCTTCATTATCACTTGGATCATACACAGGAGGCATCAACTCGCCCTCATCCCTTTTTGGGGAATATGATGCAGACTTTTCTAAAGCCTCTAATGGTGCATGGTCTTTCACATTTGCATCAGAATGGTTTTCAAAATGTGTGGTGGACTTTACATTTGAAGAATCTATAAACGGAGGTTTCTTTCTCCATCCATCAACATCTTCAGAATTGAATCTTTCCCTTCCTCGATGATCAGTTCTACCATGCCTAGCATGGGAAGATCTTCTGTAAAGGTGTGTAAGTGAGAGATACAAGAAAACTATCAAATAAAAGCAGGTAGAAAGAAAAGCAACCTGCTGTTTTCTACTCCAACAGCTGGCACGTCCATTCTCTTATCTCCAGATGAAATGCCTACTTCATTAGAAGTAGGTCCAGTCATTCCAGAAGCAGGCACAGCACGAGAACCAATAACAACTTCATTTGCAAATTGCTTTGCTACTTGCCCATCAGAGGCACGAGACTTTGCGTTTAAACTCTCTATTTTCTGAAAGAGACTGGAATCTTTTGTGGTACCAGGGTCATCCATATGCTCAATTTTCTTTGCCGAAATGTCGCCATATGCCCTAGCTTTTTTAACACCTTCAGATGACTTCACTTTGGACGAGATAGAATCCCTTCCATGGTGGTCAGTAATATGAGTGGAAGCTTCTTCAACAACTGTCCTCATATTCACTTCTTCCTTCTTTCTCTGATCCACTTCCCAATCATTTTCCCATGATGATGTTCTCTTTAGATCACCCTTATCTACACTGGGAACAGTATCCTCTGACCTGTGTTCATCTTTTCCTTCCCAGCCATCATGCTGCTTCAGAAGAACCTTGTATGGTCCTCGTGTATCATGAGGATGGCCAGATTCAAAATGCTGTGGAGCCAGTGCTTTTCCAGGAGGACCATGGCCACCACCGGGCCTGGCATGAGAACCACCAGGATCTGGAGCATTTTGACTTGGATGCCGATTATAAGGAGGACCAGCTGGTATTCCCATAAATGGCATTTCTCGCTCATTTACATTACAATAGCCCATGGGAGGACCATAGTAGCCCTCATAAGGCACTGGACCAGGGTAAAATGAAGGTCTTATTGGCATACCTGGGCGGACAAAAGCATCAGGCATGGGGCCTCTATACATATCTCCATTTTTTGGATGAGGTCCCCTTGGCCCTGCTCCTGGAGGAACTGGCCGTGGATTAGGAAGAGCACTACCTGGAATCTGAGGTCGATAATAAGGAAATGACTCCAAGGGGAATCCCCCAGGTGGAACTGGTGGCCCATATGGAGGACCTGAAGGGGGTCCTCTATACCAAACACCACCCGGATGATTGTTTATTGGTGGACCATGCCAAGCACCATAATGCTGGGGATGGATACCAGTATTAGGGAATGGATGAGGTCCCTGGGGATCCGCATGCCACTTCTCCATGCTTGGTCGGACTCCATCTTCACTATATGGAGGATTCTCTCTTCTCCAAAATTTTGCAGCTCCACTCTTTTGATTTTCATTTCCAGAAATGTCAACTGAAAAAATTGCATTAACAACTTAATCATATCAGAGTGCCAATATCCAAAATAACAAAAGTTGATGTGAAACCAAAATGATTATGATGGGAACAGAAAATTGCACACAAACCAACAACAGGATTCCCAGTCCTCTCTTTCATTGGTGCTACTTCAGAGGATGAGCCAGGACGACCTTGGGAACCATGCTCTGCAGTCAAAGTTAGCCAGTTGAGAAAGAACAGAATAAAATAGGCCATTCAAGGTGATAAATCCTTATTCTGTGATTATTCAAACTTCAAATCGAAGTAGAAAATACAGAACAGTAACTGATATCAATGTCAGCCAGGAGATGAGGCTTCAAATGCCAATCAAACAAGCTCCATCAATCAACATTTAAATACATAATTCAAATACCTTGTTAGGTCAATATGAATTGTTTGTTACTGCAAATCAAGCTCTCAATATAGAACTTCATCCCTTACAATGATAACACCACAAATATTTAAACCTAAATGTTCAAACTTGGTGTGGCATTTTTTTTTCAGGATAAGTGTATATCAAGTTTTCTCATGGGGAAAAAGTTCATTTGAGAACACAAACCATGAAAAGTTTTTAAAGAGAACCGACCTTTAAACCACATGAATAAATCTACAATTGGAAATAACTAAAAAATAAAAAACCATAAAAACCTTGCAACTCTGTGTTTTTCCCAGAGGTATCCTTTTCAGACCCAAGAGTAGGAAAGTCTCCAGAAGTGGGAGAAAACCCATCATTCTTGGAAGATGGCATCCCCTGCAATGAACAATTGTAACTGCAACATTGAGACACAGAAGCAAACTGCAAGAGAGAATAAAATAACGACTTCATAGGTGGAATACTTGGTAGGAACTGATTATGTGAAGCATTTAAAATGGATCAAGTTAGCACAATCCTAAAATATTAAAATATCTCACTTCGCCACTCAAAATACTGAACTCATAAACCACATCAAACCAATGCCACAACACTATGCAGCAAGCACCCAATAACAAATTATCAGAAAGGAACCTTGAGCAGATAATCACAAATACAGTAACCACAATGTGCTTGAAATTATAACTGAAGCAAATACTTAAATAGCAATAAGTCTATATATTACATATAAGCAACTTTATGGTTAAAATCAGTTATGGTCAATGAACTTATTGACAACATGATCATACCAATTTTTCAGCTCTCCCAGTTTCACCCCATGTCCCTGAATATTCAGGAACAGGTTCAGCAAACCGAGATAACTGAGAGCTTCTAGGCCTTGTTTCAGCACTTCGAGGACGCAAAGATGCAAGTGATGTTTGATTTGAAGCCAATGGCCCAGAAGATGATGATGGTCTAGAATCCGAACCCCGAGCATTAGTAGATTCAGGTGCTCTGTCACTACCTGCAGTTGAAGGTCGTGTGCCACTGCCACCAGATGAAGGGCGAGCACTTAGATGGCTAGGGGAACTGTTACCACCATCAGTATTTGGAGACAATGTCGAGGAACCCCATGCATTTGATGAAGAAGATGATTTACTCCCCCAACTAAGAGTACCCCTATATGTACAGAACAACCAAAGCAACTGATAAGTATTTCCACCATCCAAACAACAATCCCCACATAGAAAACACAACAGGGGAGGAAGGTTAAAAAGGGGAAAAGACATTTAGATATGGTACTACTCACTTGGGTACAATTTCCACATTAGGATCCAGACCATGATTTTCTAACCTTAAACAACAGAAAGTAAGAATAGTGTAAAGAGAAGAACTCCAGTGGCTTGTTTATTTAACCTTGAGAAAAGGAGAGAAGCACGTGAACTATGGAGAAAAGGTACCTCTGACTAGGTAAGTTTATAGGTTTTGGAACAGCAACTTTTCCCAAAACAGTCATGCCACTTCGTCTTGCAGAAGCCCATCTGCAGAAAAATTAGCATCTTAGATGCAAAAGCAAATTGCATTGCATCGCATAAGATAAGAAGTATTCATTACTGTGAACCATACTGAAGAAGAAAATGGCAGAACAGTATAGTTAAAAGGCAGATAATATCAACAAACAAACACTTTATGTGCTCACTCAAAAAGTATGTGATAACTGTAAAAATATGTTAGGTCAAGGCATGACCTAGGTGCTGCAACTAGCGCAAAACAGCAAAAGCACCTGAAACCCTTTCTGGTACATTGATCAAGTGCACACCTAGTGCACCTAGGGACAAGCTTTTGTAAGGTAAATAGGCAATAAACGTCAAAAAGACCACCTAATTGAAGGCCTCTTCAATTTATTTTATTTATAACTTATTTCATTAGATGTATCTTTAGTGGTAAGAATCAAAATATCTACTTTTAGATATTTGAGCATTCAGCAACAGACATGGAACCATAAGGAAATCGTGAATATCAGACAGAAAAAGAAAAAGAAAATTTGGCATGTTTGGTAGATAATTGGACCACTCTCTAGAGCTACGTTGCAGGGACTCGGGTACAGGTTTTGGTACATGTCTAGGTGCCTGGCACATCAATTGTCCTGAGCCTATGACATAGGGATTTGGCACAAAAGGATCCAATAAAAGAATACTGGTTTGAGGATTTATTTCGCATATATATATTTTACAAAATATATAATACATATTCTATATAAATAAGATTATATTTTTTCAGTAAAAACTACAATTTAGTTGAAAATATTTTATTTTATTATCAACTTTTAGTAATTTGAATCCATTAATAATAAATGAAAAAAATACTTTGGTCAAGATTTATTTGGATTGACTTTGTGTATCAAATTAAAAATATTTTGGGCCATACATTTCAATCCCATTCCTAAATTTTGCTTCTTTTCCCCTTCCCTTCGCTATTTTATCGTCTCCTCTGTTTTTTTCCCCTCAAGCTGAGGCCCAAACTATGATTTTCTTCAAGAACAAGCCTACATCACTTTTGAACCTAAACATCATCACCTTTTGGGCATTCCAGCAGCTGCTTCTTTTTTTTCCTTTTTCCTTTTATCTCCTTTTTGCTTTCTGATCTGCCCTTAAGCTCCTTTCTGATTTACTATCTTTTACCAGCTCTCCTCCTTTTCCTTCCACTTCTCCTCCTCCTCCCAATCAATAGAGGCCGTATCAAAGGAATCCAAAATAGATCCCATACCCAAATCAGTTTCAACAGGGGAATGGCACCAAAATGGATGAGTCCAGTAACAGAACTTTAGGGTTTGTTATCACACCAAAATAGTGCCTCAAGCAATATAAGGTTCTAGCACCCACTGTGAAACTTGCCCTTCGACAAGACTGCTCAAAATTATTTCTTGAAACAAGAAAAACTCTGGTCTTCAATCTTTTGTGAAAGCATTAATTCTTAAAGAAAAACCTCTCAAAAGACTTTCTTCACCAACTTACAATTCACAGTTTAAAACACTGAAAGATAAAATATAACAGTAAAGGTGGAGGAAAAGTTAAGTAGCATTCTAAATCGGTACATTAGTCATTATAATTTCCTCATCCTCTTGAATTAGTTCAACGTTGCCTCGGGTCACTCAAATATAACCTAAAGAATTAATTCCAAGATATTTAATCAGTTAGGCCAGGACTCTCTAATAGTTAGCACATGAAGCAATATCTCGGTAAAAAGCATCACTTAAGTTTCTGTCAATATGCCAACACCTGAAGCCAAGTAGGAGAGTATAAATGGTCGAATTTAAAAAGGCAGCAACATTGTCATTCAAACAAGTTTCTCAGCAAAGGAAGATTTCGAAAAACAAAATCACCTCCGTTCTCCAGATAGCGTACTTGATGTCATGGTTCAGAATTTATTGCAAGGTCATTCATACAGATTGAAACACCTGGAAAGAAAGAAGAATTGATTTTCATCATTTGAACACTTTCAATGAGCAAAAATGTACTTAAAATGAGAACAATATAAAGTTGTAAACAAGCAGAATAAGCTACATGGAATATCAAACAATAAGATAATCTTAGTCTGCAAAATCTCGGTCCATAAAGGGCATGTGATACATGTTTGTCTCTGTGTGTTAATCTAGGAACCTAAAACTTTAGCACCAAGCAGAAAGTCAACACCTATCCCCTGATGCTCAATTCCTTATAGGTCAAGATCCCGCAAAGATATCATTCTAGAACTGATAGCACATAGAAAACAGAATAATAAACACTTAACAAGGTAATTGAGTACAGATGCAAAGATGGTCATAAAAATAAAAAAGAAAACAGTACATAGGTATAGATATATAACATTTTGTTTGACCGACAAAAATAAAAAAAAGGGAGAGAAAACAGCAATAACCTAAAAGTTATGTTAGTAACAGAATGAAAAGTTTTTCACACTAGCTGGTTACCAGTAATGATAGCAAGAAATAAATTATCTGCAAGACTTCCAAATATTAAAACCATAAATATTTAATTTTATCTCGTGAACTTTTGGCTTCATATTGCTTTAGAAAATAGAAATAAACCTTAGTCTTTAACCAAAGGCTCACATCTAACTTGATACAAAGATTAAGAAAAATGTTAACTTTGGTTATCTTTTAAAAAAATATCATACAAAATTGATGTTCAAAGGTTTTAGTGTAAAGAAATTTACAATATCATAATACTATGATATATGTAGTAAAAACTTTGGGTGTTAAAAGAAGTAAAAACAAAAGGAAATGACACGGTTTTGGAAAATCAAAAACACGGCACAAGCAATAAACTGAATGCACCCGATAGACTAGTGTAAAACTCCCATTTCATTATCATTCCAGCCTTCAAAATTATGCAAAACAATAAACATAATTTTACATAAGAACATTAGTAAATAAGCCGGACCTCCTTTTATCCACTTACAGAGAAACAAATCAGAGTAAAAGCAAATTTACGTACAGAGAGCATAAGCATGCATTCAGTCTTCTCATACAATAACTTCTATAACCTACATGCCATTGTTCTAAATCCTATCCATAGGAATGTACAAAAATCAATCAAGCTAGGTCTACAGGCAGCCCTAGTACTCCTCTCAAGAAACAAAATTACCAAACCAGGCAAAAAGCTTCTCAAAGCATAAAGATTTATGGCCAAACAAACACCCCAAACCTGAAGACTAAAGGTCGTGAAATCACACCTTAATCTTTTACTCGTAGAACCACCAGCAAATATGTTATGCATTACAGTCCATTCAAATTATAGTCAATGAGCACTTCCAACATTTTAACTCAGCATGTGAACAAAAATGTTATCAAGTAAAACCCACTGAAGCAAATAATCATTTACCAATCAGAAATGGAGAGTATATTGTTGGCTTAACATCTATCTTCACCCCTAAACTCTCTGCTGAATTAGCAAAACTCAAAAGAAACCAAATATCCTACAAACTCCGAGCATCATTTAGGCAAGTAAATACACTTCCACTATTTATAGTTTAGTCCTTTCCGCAATATTGCATTTCATAAGCAAGGTCAGCAAAAGAACCACACTACCAAACGGGGCTTCTTAGTGAACCCTTGTCCATCAGCTTCTTATTCTCTTCACTTTAACAAGACCACCAGTCCCACAATCACCCTTCTCAAGGTTCAAAATTCACCAGTCCCAGCCATTTGGTAAACCCAGATTTCACAACAACTAAACCTGTCTCGTAAATATATTCTTCACTAACATCACTACCAGCTATATCTGCAGCGATCCCTTAAATTCCTTTTTTTCTACTCTCTCTTCAGAAAGCCTATGCACTCCATTTCGTGATACCCAAAAATTAAAAAGACAAACAATAAGGAAACAGAACAATCACATCAATAAAGCATTATCACCGTTTGAAGTGGAAGGCTAAACAAATTATTTAAGGCCCAAAAATAGTTACACCGAACAAAACGGCTTCCAGTTATTTTAGTTCCCCAGAAGATCAAATCACGAACCCGATTAAAATAAAAATGAATCAGATGGCGCATAAATTATGAAGACATTGGATTTGTCTTATTATTGAAACTATTTCCTACCGAACTGTTGTTTCCACCTTGCCTGAGATAAAATGGAACTGCGGAGTCGTCCTTCAACGAAACCCTAGAAAGAGAAAAAAAATCATAAATAAGCTTGCCCTTAATTTAAAACTAAAAGAAAATAAGGAGGGAGAGAGAGAGAGAGAGAGAGAACCTCAGAGTTGGATTAGATTGGGAGATCGGAAAATATGGAGTGGAGGAGAGCGAGGAGGCTGTGAAGGCCGCAGATCGGAAGAGAATGAATAGCGAGAGAAAAACAAACAAGGAAGTTGGGGATGGTGTTTGGACGAGTGACTCCTCTTTCTAATATCAAATCGATAATATTTTATTTTTTATTTTTAAAAATTAAAGGAGAAAATAACCTCAGTACTGAAAATATATTATAATATACGATTTTAACCAATTTTTTTTAGATTTGTCAAAATGACCAACAAATTCGCAACCCAGGTTCCAAATTCGCAACGCGAACTCCAATTTTTCAACTCAGTTTCCAGATTCGCAACACGATTATCAATTTCGCAATGCATTTGTTTCTTAAGAATTTTCTTTAAAAAGATAGTATCCGCGCGGACGTGTCGAAGACACGTATGACCACGACCACGACGGGACGGGACGGGACGACGGCGGCGGTGCGCGAGAGTCCCCCTTGTTCTCTTTCACTCAACAAGGAAGTGGGAAATCCAAGCCTTAAATACACATTCCCAATAATGTTTACAATACTATGTGGGATTGAGTATTACCAACACTTATTTCCAATGCTAAGTTGAAACATTTAACATTTAACATTTGGAAGTTGGAACACATTTAACCATATGAAAATCCTTTCGGTGGCCAAGATAATTAAGTGATATTTGTAATCGAGTTGGAAAAACTTGGTTTGTTTTGCAATATTTAAGTGATATTTATTTTTAACATAAGAACCAATTCCATTATTACGTGCCAGGATGTACACAACACATTGGGGTTAATCAAATGTCTTTTGTGTTGGCTACATGGTGTGATGGCGACATCGTCGGGGGAACACGACGAAGTGTTTACTCTTGCTTCCCATCATCTCTTTTATATTCTCTTAACCCAACTTTCGTCAAGTGCATTGCCTTCTCAAGCATTGATTAAATGTGTTCCAACTTAATTATCTTGGCCACCGAAAGGATGTTTACTTGGTTAAATGTGTTCCAACTTCCAAATGTTAAATGTTAAATGTTAAATGTTTCAACTTAGCATTGGAAACAAGTGTTGGTAATACTCAATCCCACATAGTATTGGAAACACTATTAGGAATTTGTATTTAAGGCTTGGATTTCTCACTTCCTTGTTGAGTGAAAGAGAACAAGGGGGACTCTCGCGCACCGCCGCCGCCGTCCGTCCCGTCCCGTCGTGGTCGTGGTAATACGTGTCTTCGACACGTCCGCGCAGATACTATCTTTTTAGAGAAAATTCTTAAGAAACAAATGCATTGCGATTTTAAAGTATCGTGTTGCGAATTTGACTTCTGCGTTGCGAATTTGACTTCTGTGTTGCGAATTTGACTTTCGCGTTGCGAATTTGGAGGGTTGCGAAATTTGAATTCGCGTTGCGAATTTGAGATAATTTGTTGGTCATTTTGACAAATCCAAAAAAAATTGGTTAAAATCGTATATTATAAGGCATTTTCGGTCACTGACTCAAATTAAAAACACAAAAGATTGGGAAAACATGTAAATTATAGAAATGGTCACTCATATTTGAGTAACTACGACGGATAAATTAGGTCAAATTGTTGGAATATTGTGCTTGAAAAAACAGATAAATAGTGATTAGAAAAAATATTTAAAGAAATAAGAACGAATGTTATAGTAAATATTAAAGTTGTTAACGGTTGATATTGATTTTGGTAAAAGGCTATTTCATTCTCCTTTTTAAATTTTTAAGATCAAATTTAAAAGTAAAAATTTAAAAGATGTTAAAAGTATAAGGATTAAAATGAAATTTTGAAAATTTTGACTATATATGTAACACCCCAACCCGTACTCGACCCGGATACGAGTCCGAGATGTCACATTGACATTTTCAAAACCTTTTTTCTTGTAAAATATCAAAACCTTTGAACTTATATTAAGAAAACACAATCATATATTGTTCAATTGTGTTTGGTATAAAATTTTGAGATAAAAACGTGTTTATAATCAGTAAAATACGGAATAAACAGTTCCGTGAACAGTAATGAACAGTGCTACAGTAACCTGCTACAGTGCATCGATGCATTGCTACAGTGCACCGATGCATAAAACTTCGAATGGCTATAGTGCATCGATGCATTGCTACAGTGCATCGATGCACTGCTACAGTGATTTTCGTAAAACATACAAAAAAAACTCGTAAAAATTTAACCGTTCATTACTATATATTTACATAAATACGTTTAACATTAGAAAACTCATTCATATAATTTTACAAACCAATTAGAGCATATCGGATTCAAATCTTTTATATTATTACATGCCAACTAAATTCTTTCTTACAAAACACATGTACTCAATTTACATTTCTGATCTGATCTTAAATAAGGAGAACTGACATGTCTTGTTCCTCTTTACTTCTCTTTTCGCTTTCCAAACCTACGTGTGAAACAATCACACGCTAAGTCGATGACTTAGTGAGGCATATAAAACATTTAATAAAAATCATAAAACATCTAACATAACAGAATACATACATGTACATATGCCATCATTATCATGATCTCTATCATATTCATACAATATTATCATTCATATTTCTTATCTCTTGTTCATATAATCTCTTATGCTCTTATCATATATATTATGTCTCATTCATATAACAGATACAATGACTCATAACACACATATGTCATTCCATACAATTCATATCATATAGAAACATATCTCATCATATATGTTCTTGTAACATTTCATATCATCAAAAACATATACATCGTATATATTATATTTAATCTCTTTATTAGCTCATGTACATTGTTGAGAACTGAAGGTATGTGAGTACACTGAGGTTGTGCACAAATGTTGTCACCACAGCTCGTATAAATTGCACCTGAAGTGCCACGTAGAATTTGCACCGAAGTGCCACGTAGAATTTGCACCGAAGTGCCAAGTAGAAATGCACCGTAGTGCCATATAAATTCCTTAAGAATCATATACATATACCAAGGATCAAGTAAGTGTCTCAAAAGACCTCATACATGCTCCAAAGAATACATATACGTCTCGAAGGACCACGTAGAATTTGTCCCGAATGACCGCGTAGACCCTCTACTCTTGGCATGCCAACTATACCTATAGCTCTCGTATAATATAACATGGGCATTATTTTTCATATTTATCACATAGTTCACTTACACGTAGAACATTTCAATATGATTCATATTCATATGTCACATAGCTTATACTTTGTTCTTATGCCTTCTCATAGACATATTTCTTTCTCACGTAGTCACATAGGTTCATATCACTTTGCATAGAATCACATAGTTTACTTTCATGTAATTCATATATCATACAAATCATATCATATCTTGTTCTCGTATGTTTCCAATCCATCACATATATCACATGCGCATTTTCACATAAACATATAAATCATGTAACATATAAGAACATATATTCATTTATATATATTAATACACACATAATAATCACATAACATGGTAAAAGTTACTTCTTACCATAGTAACTCCATCATTGGCTCATCGCAAGCCAATGTTTGTTCAAGAACCTAAGTACAAAATAAATTGCACTCACCTTAGCCTTGTTTTGATTCAATCTCAATTCTTTGATTGTTCCAGAATTTGTTTAGGCTCACTATCTACATAAACATAATTCCCGAGATGAATTTCAAAAGCCTAAACCTTATAACTTGATGTTAATAACCCAGACTAATTTAATAAACCAAATTTCAGCTTTTCCTTTAAGAGTGCATCGATGCACTATGGGTACATCGGTGCACAAAATAGCTTCGAAATATCAATGCATCGATGCACCTACCCAGAAATCACTGTTCATTGCAAGAAAATTCACTCTTTCAATTTCAATTCTTCAAGTTTCATTCCCTTTCATATTCTTAACTCACATACACATGTTTAAACTCATTTATATCCATTCATCTAATCTTAAATCCCAAAATTACATCTTTCATATGGAAATCAATAATCATACTAAATTTTCAAGATATTCTAAAACCAATTCTAACACTTCATATCTCTTAATTAAGTTGATGACAAGTCAAATTTAGTTTCAAATTCAACTTATCATCTCTTTTCCAAATATTCACTTAAAAACCCATTTTCTTTTATCTTTCATAACTCCTTTATCTTTTGATTTTAAGATAACTTAAGCTTTCCTTAAACTTAGTTATCATCTAAAGATCAAAACCCAAGCTTAAAATCAACAAACAATCAACAAATTCGAAAACTTACCTTTGCTCTAGCTTGGGCACGTTGGAGAAGAGAAGAAGATGAAGAAGATAAGTTTGGAAACTTATCTCTTCACACACTCCACATGGGTATTATAATACCCACTAAACTTTATTTAATTATTTATCTTGTTCAATGACCTATTTGCCCTTTGACTTTTTGGATAATTACTAATAACCCTTCAGATATTATTTTCAAGTAAATCATTGAACTTTTCAACTTTTCCACTTTAATCACCAAATTTTGAAATTTTATAATTTAATCACTAACCCATAGTTTGGGATGTTACAAATCTCCCCTCCTTTTATAAGAAAATTCGTCCTCGAATTTTCATTGCCCACACTGATAAGAAAATTTCTAATATTCTCATGTTGCTTCCTTTACTTAATCTTTCCTGTTCATCGCTAACAAACTTATTTTTTTCTCTTACTCATTCATCTACTGTCGTTTATCACATAAACAGTAACCAATAACCTCATCTATTTCCGTCTTTCTCTCATTCGATTCTACATTTTCCTTTGACTTTTCTAAAATTCCATATAACATTTCTCATCACGTATACAATAACATCCAATCCTTACTACTCAATATTATGAATCAATTGATTTCCTTCATCCTGCTTTAATTGCTTTATACAATAACCCAAATCTTTATTCATTCCTTAATTCTTGTTTGTATTACAATACACAAAATCTTTTCATATAACTCAGGTATTTGTTCAATGAATAATCACCTTTTCTAATCAAAGGTATTAACTTTAAATCTTCTTCAAACATACTTAAACATATACTTCATAGAATCAAACAATATTTTCACATCACCTTACACACTTTTCGTCTTTTATATCAAACTTATCAT